CATATTTTGTTTTTGAAAATTATTTTGTCGAAATAGCATCCCGCGTTTTAACCCACTTTATCATACCGCATGGCTTCTAGTAGTTCCCCTACTAGCCACACGTATCAAGCCCACCTTATCTCACTGCATGAGTTTTAACACCCAGACCTTATACCACCACATGCATATCAATAATCACAACGACACGTCAGAAACTTCGTGCAACAATAACAACCGCACGACAGAAACCTCGTGCAAACACTAACAACTGCACGGCAAAAACCTCGTGCAACAATAACAACAACACTTCAACAATAACATAAAATCCAAAATACAACAACTAAATAAATGATATTTCAAGGATAGCAATTTCAAGTAAAGAATTTTCACAGTTAAGTAATGAATACGAAAATCAAGAAAAATAAGTAATTCAACTAAACATGTGATACAAGTTGCAAATAGGAGATAAGACAAGTAGACATATGAAACTAGGCTAAACATGATGACTGTAACGTGCTAAAGTAGCTCAATTAAGGCATGAAAAGGAAACTACGTAGCAAAGACCGGAATTTCAACATTTAGCCTCTGTACGCACTCGTCACCTTGCGTAAACTGCCTTCACATATCACAAATTATCACTAAAATACCAAATCCTTAGGGGAATTCCCCTCCTCCCCCCCTCCCCCCACAAGGTTAGACAAGTCACTTACCTCAAACCACGCTCAATCAATCAATTATAAAGCCTTTCCCTCGATTTTCCAACTCCAAACGGCTCAAATCTAGCCAAAATAATTTCATACTATAAATATAACTATAGAAAACTAATTTAAATAATGAAATAATGATCTTAGCTAAGAATTGAAAAATCGCTCTAAAACGTCGACCCGAGCCACTTCCCGGAACCGACCACAATCATAAAATCCGAACACCCATTCGATATCGAGTCCAACTATACAAGAATTATCCAAATCTGACCTCATTTAGCCTTTCAAAACCCAAAAAACTTGGTCTAAGAACTTCTACACTTTTTCCCAATTTTAAACTCCAAAACAATAATTAAAAGGTGTAATTAACAATTGATTCATGAGAATTAATCAAAAACGAGTCAAGAATCCTTACCCAAATGCTTCATCTGACTCAAAATCTCGCCTCAATCCGAGCTCTCAAAGTCCCAAAAATGAAAATGAAGCAAACCCTCGAAAATCCTCCTTTCTGCCCAGCGAGTTCCGCATCTACGGCCTTTGGGACGCTTCTACGGTGCCGCACCTGCGAAAAACCATCGCAGATGCGGTCCCAACTCAAATCTAGGGCTTCCACTTCTGCGGATGAGGGCTCGCTTCTGCGAGATCGCTTCTGCAGGAAAAGGATCGCATCTCTGATCAAGCCCCAAAACTGATTCCCCAGTTCCGCTTCTGCGAGGGAACATTCTGCATTCGCGAGTCTGCTCCTGCGGACACATGATCCCACCTATGATCCCAGCTAGTCTAGACCAAATCTGCCCCTACAACCAATGGCTCGCACTTGAGAGCCCGCACCTGCGGCCAATCCCTCTGCAGGTGCGAAGACACCAGAACCAGCCCAGCATCAGCGAATTCCCTAAGTCCAAAAATGATCGGATTCACATCTGGGGCCGCCGGGACCCCGTCCGAATATACCAACAAGTTTCAAAACACCTAACAGACTTAGTCGAGGCCTCAAATCACCTCAAACAATATTAAAAAAATGAATCACACCCCAATTCAAACCTAATGAACTTATAGACTTTTAACTTCTACATTCGATGTCAAATCCTATCAAATCAAGTCCGACTGACCTCAAATTTTGTACACAAGTCATAAATTCGGCATAATCGTGCGTTATATCGCTGGTAGCCCGAACATTCACGAGATTATCCTTCCATTGATGCCCGACATCTTACATGGTACTTCTTATCCGTTTGTTACTAGTACTTGATATTTCTGCGATGATGAGGTAGAATATAAGGCTGAGAAATTCATACTTTAAAAGAAATATTTGGAAGATTAGGTAACTTACAGATTTATCCTATTATGGCTGTGTGCTTTACCTCTGCTTATTATTTTATCATATTGCTTTGTTGGACCTCTAGTAAGTGTCGATATCGACCCTCGTCATTACTTCTCCGAGGTTAGGCTAGATACTTACTGGGTACGCGTTGATTTACGTACTCATGCTGCAGTTCTGCACTAAATGTGCAAGATCTGACAGGTTCATTTAGTGATCATCTTGGCACGTAGCCGCAGCTGTTGAGGAGACTTTTCGTGAGCTGCATTCGAGACTACGCATCGCAGTCCACAAAGTCTCCATCGTACTATTTATTTTATCCTGTCTCATTTACATTCTAGATAAATGTTGTATTATTATTATTGTACTCCTTAGTAAATACTCATGCACTTGTGACACCGGATTTTGGGATATACTAGTTGGTGCTTACGGTTCTGTATATTATCATCGCCTTTCATTTCTCCTACAAACTACAAATTTTGCACATGCCCGTGGATTTAAAAGTGTAAATTCCCTTCCTTATTAAAATTTATGATTTCGAAAGTAATAAAATGAGTAATTAAATTGATCAATCATCGTTGGCTTGCCTGACTGCGGCGTTAGGCGCCATCACGACCTATGATGGATTTTGGGTCATGACAAGAGTAATCACCCAGCCCAAATTGGAAGATTCTTAAAATTCGCCCCCAGGCCCACGTGCCCGGATTCCGAAAATTTTCGAAGATAAATATTACCCATAGCCTCACGAACTCAAATATATAAGTTTTTTTTACTTAATTCCATAATCCATTTCGTGGTCAAATCTCATTTTTATCAAAACCCTAGGTTCTTCACAAATCCCACAAGTTTTTACAATCTTTTCATGTTTAATCTACCTCAAACCTGCATAATTAACTTTAAAATGGGTGGGAGTTACTTACCTTAGGATATTGATGAGAATCCCCCACAAATAAGCTCTCCAGAAATCGCCCAAGACAGAAATGAAATGTGAGGGAAAATAGCCTAAGTCTCGGATTAAAAACCCTCAATGTGCATTTGTACAGAAGTAAGGAGGATAAAGGAGAAGAAGGATCAGTTCAATGTGATCTTCCAATATGTACTTAAGGGAAGGAAATACAGTGGCAGATTATTTGGCTAACCTTGCTTTTTCTTATGCAGGTACAATTTCATTTCACTCGTTCTTTGAATTGCCGAGTGCACGAAAGACATTAATCAATCAAGAGCTCAGATTCCTAATCTTAGGATTAGGATAGCAAGGAAACTAACACCAGATTGATGGAAGTTGTCTTGAGTGCAATGCATGCCTATGATGGCATCAAAATTATTGTCTACTATATAAATCCAACCTATCAGCCGGAGCAATTTACAAGGAAACAAGCTCATCATGGAGGTAGTTGGACACTGTATGACATCTCCAACGCAGGCAGCCAACACATTAGTTTAAACACAATGCAACAAGGCATCAATGGCACATGCATACAGAACATTTTGGCACTGTCCAGTAATTCTGGTTACTAATATTTGTCGCCTGCTGAGAGAGATAGAGCCAGTGCTACTTATAAGGAAACAACATCATCCTGGATTTGGTGGGACACTGTATGACATCCCCATTGCAGGCAGCAATCACATAAGGTTAAACACAATGCTACAAAGCGAAGATTGTGACGGCTTTTCTACTGCTGCAAGTCCTACATCACATATCCATATTGTGCAAAAACATATACAGTGTGGTTTTGAACTACACACTATATGCTACTCACATAACTCACATGGTCAGCTTATGCTTCTTAAGTGTTACGTATTAATGGATCAGTATCCAGTGGTATTATTGTGGTTTCACTCTCAATCTGGAGATGAAAAGTTTATACATGACACATATTTTCTAAGCAGGCAGCTATGGCACAAAGGCATAAAGAAAAATCATTGGTACTGTCCAGTAAATCTGATTACTAATACTTAGTTCAAGCTGGAGCAACACTTGTGCACATCAAATATGGATAGCTTCGTTTCACATGCATGCTGTGACAAATACCTGCTGGATTCATGCTGAACAAGAGTGTGTAGCTATTGTCCAGTGGTATTAGCATGGCAACATGCTCAACCTGGAGGTAGTGTAACACTGTATAGAGCAATTAAAGCAAGCAGGCAAGTCATTACATCTGTGTGTGACCTTAAGCTGTGTGATAATAATATGGATAGTGGCATTGTTGCTGAAGTACAAGGACAACTACTACTTATTACAATGGATCTCATAGGTTATATATTCTCCTAACATTTTAAAGTGGTATTAGTGTGGTTTCATACTCATTTTGGAGATGAGAAGGCAGTATATACCATTATGTTGTTAAGCAGCCAGTTGGTGTATTATGGTTCTATATGTACAACTTTAAGCTACTGCCCTGCAAGTGTCATGGCTGAGCATAAATAGGCCTTCTTCGCCTATTTATCAAGCTAGAGCAACACATTGAATTGGAAGATTTGGTTTGCTTCAATACAGTGGTGTAGTTGGTTGGAATCCGCATTAGCCTTGTCCATTGATTTTTTGTTCAATGGAATGCATACCCCGGCGCCTGGTGAGAGCATTAGAGGTGCTACTTGGTATTTGCCCTAGGCTATTGGATTCACTTACACTGCTCGGAGATGGAAGCAAATATCTTTCTACTTTGTACTAGCTAGTTCATTAGTATTAGCTTTTCATTCACAGTATTAGCTATTAGTAGTTTTCATCTTTTACTTTGGATATGTCATCTTGCATAACTTGGACCCAATATGGGATTTTATTTATATATTAGTCACTGGGCGACTAGCCAAGCTGTATATTTGCATAAATAAAAAACAAAGTGCACTCAATGTTATATACGGACCAAGTAATTAATTGATCAAACAAATATGTTAAATTTTATAATTATCTCCCAATTACTCCCAAATTCAATTACAAGTTAGCCATCCAAACAGGCCCTAAAAGAAACCTGTCCCTTTTTAACCATACAAAAGAATAACTTTTCGAGCGAAAAGAAATAGAATAACTTTTCAAACTTTGAAATGAAAAAAGAGAAACTCTTCTCCATCTCCGAAATCTTCAATACCAAGAAATCTCCGCTAAACCCATACACCTTCACCCACTTCTCCACTCTCAATCTCACACTGACACACTGTGATACCAAAATTCCAACAAAAAATGGGCAAGAAATCAAACTCAAACGGCGACGTTTTACAATCTAAAAATTCCACATGCTTCATCGGCTCATCGGTGATTCCGTTAATCAACAAGCTTCAGGATATTTTCGCACCGCTCGGCGACATCGACGATCGTCTCACCGGTCTCCGGCTGCCGCAAGTGGCGGTGATTGGGAGTCAGAGTAGCGGCAAGTCCAGTGTACTTGAGGCTTTAGTTGGCCGTGACTTCCTTCCACGCGGCACAGATATTTGTACACGTAGACCGTTACTTCTTCAGCTTGAAAAACGCACTATAGGAGTTGGTGATAATGATTCTCGTGAATATGGCGAGTTTGGTCACCTCCCTGATAAACGATTCTACGATTTCTCCGATATTCGCTGTGAAATTCTGGTTAGGTTCTTCGATTCTTTTTGTATTTTTTCCTTTATCTTTGATATTTGGAGATCACTATTCCCTCTGTCCAATGGCGCACTATCTCTGTAGTTATTTTTAGTCAGCAGTGAAACTATAGCAAGTATTAGGTATGAGTTCACGCTACTCCAGTAACTTTTGCCCAGACCGTATTTAGCTCGGATCCCACTTCGTTTGTCCTGTTATTAGTCAGGGTTATGTGACACACTTTTCTTTTTAGTCAGGAGAATTATAGTATTAGGTATGAGTATGGGGGAATGCGTTCATGTGAACCCGGTAACTTTTCTCAAACTGTGTATTTATATTAATAAGAATATTTAGCTCGAAACCCAGTATGTTGGTCCGGTTATTATTTCATCAATCTGTAGGCAGTGGCCGAGCCACATATTGACACCCCCTTGCCGGTTAATTACACTGCTTAGATAGGTAATTTTTTTTAATGTATATATACCTCCGTGACAAACGATTCTACAACTTCTCCGCTATTCACCGTGAAATTCTTGTTAGGTTATTTGATTCTTCTTCTATTTTTAAAAAAATAATTGTAAATCACTACTCCCTCTGTCCAATGGCACACTTTATTTTTTAGTTAGGGCTTACGTGACACACTTTCCTTTTCAGTCAGGAGTGAAACTATAGTAAGTATTAGGTATGAGTTCACGAGAACCCAATTACTTTTGCTCGGACAGTATTTAGCTCGGATCCCAGTCCGTTAGTCCTGTTATTAGTTAGGGTACGTGACACACTTTTCTTTTTAGTGCGGGATTATGTGACACTTTTCTTTCTTAACGACAAATAAATTCTTAATCCTAACTTGTTAATGTCGCTATAGTAATTCTTTTCTTTCATTGTTTTCTATTTATAGCTAAGTCCCCATTAGTTGGAAGATATTGTAGGTCTTTTCATACAACTTTTCTCCATGTGATTTCAGGTTTACCTTGTTGCCTTTTAACATCTTCAATCATCATACTGTCACAACTCACAACTATGGTAGTGCATGTGGATGTTTACATATAAAAAAGGGCAACCCGGTGCACTAAGCTCCTGCTATGCCCCGGTCTGGGGTAGCACCGAACCACAAGGGTCTATAATACGCAGTGTTACCTTGCATTTCTGCAAGAGGCTGTTTCCACGGCTCGAACCCGTGACCTCCTGGTCACATGACAACAATTTTACCAGTTACGCCAAGGCTTTCCTTCATGTGGATGTCTACATATGATATGTTCAAATAATCTTAGACCCTCTTCTCTATGTGATAATAGTCCAATCTTGTATCACTGCACATCCACATTAACATCAACATTTGTGCAACGTTCATCTTGAGATATGTAAGGCGTGAGAGGTCCAACATTCATTCCTATATAATATTGCTAGTCCACAACAGGTCTATAAAATATAAATAGCCTTTCATCTTGTTAGGTATATTCTATTGCTGCACTCCCTGCCACTCCTCCATTTCAGCTATCATACTTTAATCCTATGTGTTACATCTTTCTTTATCATGCCATTGTTTTGAAATTCTGACGCTAGTTATTCTATATTGGAGTACTGAGTTGGATCATAACTAAAAGCTGCTCAATTGGTGTGAGAAGAAAAAATAAAAAGTAAAAGTGGTGTCACTGATGACCATTAGGAGCTAAATAATTAGTGATAATAGATTTTGGACAGATTTAAAAAAAAAAATATTTGTGGAGAAGTTAAAAGAGTTATTTTTGGTAACATACTTGAGGCTATGTTAAGCTTGTTGGGCACCAGCGAAATGGCAATTTTCTATTACTCCTTTATATAGAATTTTGTATAGTATGAGATTTTGTATAGCGGAAATGTCCAAAAGTTCAGAGATGAAGCTTGATGACTGGAAGCAGGATGTTTTATCACATTTAATGATGTTCATCAACTTGTTGTTTTCTTTCTGAAATACTAGGTTAAAAATATTATGCTTATCTACTTCTTATTGTTTTCTTTCTTATCAACTAGGTTGAAGATATTATTTTTTATTTCGAAATTTGTGAATATACTAGGGGTGCCATATTTTTTCACGCTTTCTTATGTGAATAAACTGATCTGTTAGTGCAGGTTGAAACAGAAAAAGAAGTGGGAGTTAAGAAGGGGGTTTCGGATAAACAAATTCGGTTAAAAATCTGCTCTCCCAATGTTCTCAATATAACTCTTGTTGATCTACCTGGAATCACTAAAGTTCCTGTCGGTGACCAACCCAGTGATATTGAAGCAAGGATCAGAAATATGATAATGTCCTATATAAAACAAGAAACTTCAATCATATTGGCTGTTTCTCCTGCAAATGCTGATTTGGCTAATTCTGATGCACTACAAATGGCTAAAGAGGTGGATCCAACTGGTAGGTCACTGATGTAGTTGTCTGGATAGCCCAAATTTATTGCTTTAATTCCTAAGTCATGTTATACTATTTTTTATGACTCCTTTATGAAACTTATTTGACCATTTCACATCCAGTGCCTTGACTTGATAAAAGTATTTGACAGGTACCCGTACAATTGGTGTAATAACTAAGGTTAGTTTTCACATTCGCATTGAAGGTTAAAAAGCATCTCCTTTACCTTTTAAAAGAAAAATATGTCATGAAAAGGAAACTTCTGCAGCTATGTGTTCATTAGCTTCTTCATGAAATCATCAGGCAGACATGTGATCTTAATGTTGTGTTGTGGCTGTAGCTAGATATAATGGATAAGGGTACCGACGCGAGAAACTTTCTGCTGGGAAAAGTTATTCCACTTCGTTTAGGTTATATCGGTGTTGTCAACCGTAGTCAACAGGTATATTCTGGATTCTTTGCTTTGACTACTTGCTGTTTTCACTAAAGCTCTATTATTTTGCTGATCCAGAGTACTATTACTAACTGACCTGTATCTATCTCAACTTCACATCATCAAAAGCAATAACTGACTAATAAAGCACTCAAGGATGTGGCCTAGTGATGAATGAAGTGGATGTAAACCTTGGAGACCAGGGTTTAAATCCCAACAGACATAAAACAATCCCATTTGCCTAACCCTCAGTGTGCAGAGTTACCAACTGGTGGGAGGTAGTAGGTACCCAGTGGCCAGTGGAATAGTTGAGGTGCAAGCTGGCCTGGATACCACTATTAGTTTAAGAAAAAAGTCTAATAAAAGCTATTGTTCTGATTGACATCAAAGTTTTGTGTATCAGGAGGCTAAGGATCCTTCCTAAGATTTTATGTAACATGCATTGCCTATTTGAATGGGTTTACCTTTTTCACCTCAACTAATATATCAGAGCTTTGCTTTCTTCTTTATTACAGACCTAATTTAGCGATTCTACTTCGTTCATATTTCACGTACTTTCTCCCCTTTCAAGAGCAAAGATGAATTTTCACATGGTGTTCTGCTTATTTATTAGGTCTAAGATGCTGTTAATTTCAATCAGATCCCTATCGTGTATTTCCATCAACATTGGCCTCAGTCCTTCCTTTTCAGGGGTTAATCCTTCTAATGTGCCACTTCCGAGATCAACTGATATTTTGTTTGGTAGGAAGAGGGTAGTTAGTGATGTAAAAGGATTTCCTATCCAGTTGGATGAAAGGCCTCCTTCCACAGACATTTTGGCTATGTGTATTTGAAGCTGCTTGCAGATGTTTGTTTGACACTGATGATCCTTCTATGCAATAGCAGTTCCAATATCATATTTAATGAAAACAAGCTGAGGTTTAGGTGATTTACTTTAAGAATTTGGTTCACTGCTATGCAATGCCTATGCCCTTTAGGCCTTTACTCTTATGCATGTCTTACAATCGTATCGTGGTTGAAGAGATGCAATTGAGTGCACTGTACATGTTGCTTCTTACTTAAGTCAAAGCTTAAGAAGTAAAAGCTTTCATATTTTACATGGTTCCCAAGCTTAGTCCTATGTACTATATAAGGTCAAGAGTTTTGATCCCTTGGTCCCAAAGTGGATAAACTTTTTTTGTAGCATAATGATTGAAAATTATAGTTTGAATGGTATGTAATCATGCATATATTTGCTTATGATATATTGAATATGTGAAGGTGTGGTTTATTGTTATAAAGATATCACATTGAAGCGAAAGTAATGAAGTGCTACATATCTCGGTTGTTATTCAGAGTTGTCTGTTACCCGCAGTTGTTTGAGACCTCCTATTATTGGCTTGATCTATCATTTCAATAGGCTCCTTGTCATCAGGCTACTTAGTTGAAGAATTTTCTACACTACATATTAGTTCGAACTTTTGGCGTGAAGAGCTTTTCCATGTAAGGAAAAAAGTCAATTACAGATCAGCTAAAGAGAAAGGGGTCAATTTAATTGGAAAAAAGGACGATCTAGTGAAGAGTCATTATAACGTCATGAGGGACCTAGACACAACATTATGTGGGAGAATATCTTAAACCTCGTATCTATGTCCATAAGCTGTTAGAGAGAACACCCTTTTGTTTATTTAACTGTCTTCAACAGAAAGAAAGAAGAAAATGCCGAAATATTGTGTTTATGGTTCAAATATATTGAACCAAATACGATAATATAAGTGTATTTTTGCAGGATATTAACAATAAGCGTTCTATTGAAGAAGCACTTGCTTATGAGGAGCAATTCTTCCGTGATTATCATGTACGTTTCTGCTACTTTTCATCTTATATTCCATTTTTGGTAATTCTCTACATTGTCACATGGTACTTTGCATTTGAAGGTGTACCATGGTTTATCTGATCGTTGCAGAATCCCCCAGTTGGCGAAGAAGCTAAATCAGGTTGGTGCGAAAAATGATGGATAAAAGATGAATTCGTGTCAATGGTTCTAATTTAAGTCGATTTGGTTCTGTAGGTAAGTTTTTTGTGTTGCCGGAGAAGATGTTCAAAGGCATTTTTAGATGCCTAGCTGTAATTTTGAGGCAAAATCGGAAGATGCTAGAATAATGCAATTGTCCCGGAGAATTTTGTAACACTTGAGGAGTAGCCTCTTATCCCTTATTTCCTTTTGGTGCACCCACAAGATTTGTGTATGTATAGAAGATTGGGTGTTGTTTGTAGAAAACCATATCTTTTTTCTATTTTTGGTATACTCCTTGTATGCGGGTGTTTTTTGCCCATTGTCAATACAATCTAATTACTTGGAAAAATTGCAATTGTCCTCAGCAGCGCATGTCCACTGAGGTATACTTTTAGGAATTACAGAATTCCTATTTGTCCTTCATTTCTTGTAGGCATCGCATTCATGTTAACAATCTCTTTTGTGCCTTTCTGTTGATTGCTGCAGTCGTGAAATGGGAACTTGGTTTACCTTAATGCTTAAAAAGTGTGAATAGAGACATCAAACATAAAACATCCTACTTGGCATCATTGGCTAATCTTTTTGTTACAACAAATCTAACTGTGTTAAAGAAATAAAATAGATAATAGCATGAAGTTTATGGTATTTTTGTTTTGTTTCAGATTCTGGAGCAGCACATTCGAAATGTTCTCCCCACTTTGAAGACTGATTTAAATTCTCATCTTGTAGCTGTTGAAAAGGAGTTACGTACTTACGGGGAGGCTTTGGAATCAAACGTAAAGATAATGTGCTATGATTTTATTTCAAAGTCGTGGGCTAGAAATTGATCTTTTATGAATTACAATTTCAAGTCATGGGAGGAATGATTCTAAGAGATGCATAACCAGATAGTTATAGACAAATGAATATATTTTCTAATTTAAATGAATTTATCTTGTTGCATGGCATGAGACAGGCAGAAAGAGGGGCCATGCTGTTAAATGTTCTGACAAAATACTCTGAAGGTGAGGAGTATCTTGTTTTTTTTATGGAAGTTCGCTAGTTCCTTTTATTATGTGTTTCTACTTTGTGCTAACTTCTCTTTAGCCATCCCATTTTTTCAGTTACTAGGATGATTACATGTTTAATATTTTAGCTATCTGCCTCAATATTTTGATGTTGAGAAAGATACTGAGTGGGAGGCTCATCTGTATGTTCCAGATAGGCTTGTGTATGAAAATTAAGTCTTGTTATCCAAACACGACGGCATAGTATTTAATTTAGAAAGTGCATTCTCTTTTCTGGATTGACTGACTGAAACTAGGCAGATATAAATCTGTAGCAAAACATAGAGTTCTTCTGTACCCACTTGTCTCATTTAACTTCTTCCAAAAGATTGATCTTTTCCTTAAAGTGGTAAAACTTACAGCTTTAGAAGGTCGGAATGACATGGAGTGTTGTTTTTCACTTTATTTTGAATTTGAAAAACATCTTTACACTCTTGTCGTTTCTTCCCACTGTTACTTCATCTTATTCTAACAGACTTCTAGCACATGTTGCTTAGTTGTCTTAATCATTGTGCCAGTCAAAGTAGGTTAATCAAGTCAAGAGAGAGGGGGTAGAATTTTTGGTTGCTTACTGACGTTCTTCCTTTCTTGGTGATTAACAGCATTTTCTGCAGTGGTGGATGGAAAAAGTGAAGCAATAACAACCAAAGAATTGTCAGGGGGAGCACGGATTCATCACATATTCCAGTCAATTTTTGTAAAGAGCCTGGAGGTGCAAATTTTTGTTCCTCAATTAGTTTCTTGTTGCTGCTGGTCTTTCATGGACTAGCTTCTCTAGTGAAGGGCTAAAGCCAATATTACTTTAATATTTCTTGCTTTAGATATTAACAAGATCTTATGTACTTAATTATGTAACTGATGTTGTTCTAGCAGTAGCAGTAAGCTGTTGATGCTTTAGATATTAACAAGATCTTATGTACTTAATTATGTAACTGATGTTGTTCTAGCAGTAGCAGTAAGCTGTTGATGCTGCATCAGGTAGTTATGTTGTTATTTGTGTCACTGTAGGAAGTGGATCCTTGTGAAGATCTAAGTGACGAGGATATAAGAATAGCTATCCACAATGCAACTGGTCCAAGAAATGCGTTATTTGTGCCAGAGGTGCATGCCATGATAGTAAATTTACGCATCAAGCGGAGCACCTATAATTCTTTCTATTATCGTTGGGATGATAATGATGGTATAAGTGTTTTAGGTCCCATTTGAAGTTTTGGTTAGAAGACAAATAGCTAGGCTGCTAGATCCCAGCCTCCAGTGCTTGCGATTTGTCTATGATGAGCTTATCAAGGTGATAAAAGAGTATTTTTGACTTACATGGTGTTTTACAGTTTTCGTAAGTAGGTTCCCTTTCTCATGAGCATNGTTTCATGTCTAAATTCATTGTGCCTGCGTATGGAAAGTGAAATACTAGATAGGATTTTGTGTAGACAATTCCATGGAATTCTCCATAATTAGGAAACATAATTGATTGTATATTTGTACGTAAACAAAGACTTCTATTTAAGAAGTCTCTCTTTACATGTTAATTTTGATACAAAGTATTTTTTCTTTTATATCTTGTTTCAATGGTATTAGAGCCAAATAGAGCAACTATCAGAATTTAGGTTGTCTCAGCCACCAAAAACGTTTTCTGGCGAAGTTCATTAAGTGCATTGCTACCTCGATTTCCTTGATTATTCGGTGTCCATATAAGTCAACCAATTACATTAAGACAAAATGAACACAGTCGTCAAAAAAAGAAAAAAACACCATACGCCACCAGAAGGAACGTCAGCCTTGGCGTCAAGTCACGTGCCAGAATTTTGTCCAATGTATGCTGCATTACCGTTAAATTAGTTTACACGTCGTTGTTCAGTCATGACAAGTCACTAGGGAGCTCTAATTAAAAGACCTCTGACCAAGACTCAGTTGAGGTTAAGACCCCAAGTTTTAATTCTTCATTATATTGACCCACCCTTTTTAGATTATTGTTAGTTAATCTAATCCCATTATGCAATGTTAGAAATCATCCTCAAAGTTCTGAGAATTACGAATTGGTCCAAAGCAATAAATTATAAAATAAAATATAAAAACGTATTTCCCTTTCTCAACCCCGATTCCCGCACTATTTTTCTTCCCCCTTCTAGGTCGAAATTGCCCTTAACATTTCGCAAATTCATTGATTGAGCTTGCATATTGTCACGACCTAAAATCCCACCACAGGCGTCGTGATGGCACCTAGTCTCTAAGACTAGGTAAGCCGATTTCCATTACATTTCGAAGCCTTTTTTTTTTTAACGAAACTGAATTAAATAGATAATCAAAACCAACAGCGGAACAAACATGAATATAGCAACCTCCCAAGACTGGTAGTACTGAGTCACGAACTCTAACTGAATATATGAAATGATCTCAAGGATCGAATACTCAATACTGTTTGATTAATAATTAACAGTACAATAAAATGAAAAGATTTCAAGGGACTGCGATGACCAAGCACTCTACCTTGAATCCTTGCGATCACACTTTACTCTGTCCGAGTCCGATAGCTTCAATACCTGGCTTTGCACAAAAAATGTGCAGAATGTAGTATGAGTACACCACGGTCGGTACCCAGTTAGTATCAAGACTAACCTCGGTGGAGTAGTGACGAGGTACAGTCAAGACACTCACTAATCAATTAACTTGTGCAGTGTAGCAGTATATAATAATAATAATAGAAACGAATGGCAATGATGACAACAAGAATAAATAAATGATGTAAACCACAAGGCAACAAGAACACCATAAATATTGCTCAAACGAATAAGGAACACAAATACAACCAATCAATCAAGTCCCTCAAATATACGTCTTTCCAATGTAAGTACTTCAAGTATAAATCTTTCAAATATAAGTTTTTCAATAAAAATCCTTAGAATATAACCTTGTCAAATAAATATATATTTCGAATATACTCCCTTCAAATAAATTTCTTTCAACTATAATTCTTTCAAATAATATTTTTGGAATATAATTCCTTCAAATAAAAGTCATCGTGTGACACCTCATTTCATAATCATAAAAAATACGGGTCTCAACCCACTTCCATATTTTCACTGCACCTCGTGCCCATATTTTTATTACAATTGCACGGACAACTCACGTGCCAATCATATCAATGTATATAAGATCCACATGATCAATTTATTTCCACTAAAGTGAGTTTACAATTTTTAAATCAAGTAAGAAATCAACAAAGAAATGAATTTATTTTAGAAATCATTTGGGTGAAGAAAATAACATTGTACCTAAATTAAAGCATCAGATAAACTACTGATTTGGATGTAAAACTATTTAATGTAAAACATAATAATAATTTCTTTTATTTAAATCAACTCAATCATCGAAAATTAGTAAGAAAACCNCACGCGTTTCAAGCCACCCTTATCTCACCGCATGCGTATCAATATCACAATATTTTACAAATCACACCGCAAGTGCCCAAATATCACAGCATAATACAACTTGCACCTCAAGTGCCCAAATATTACAACATATCACAAATTGCACATCAAGTGCTCAAATATTACAACATATCACAAATTGCACATCAAGTGCTCAAATTTTACAACATATCACAAATTGCACATCAAGTGCTCAAATATTACAACTTTCCACAGAAATCAACAATACATTATTTTTCAACAATAAGGAGCCCACGACTAGATCATAATGTGTACAACATCTTAACAAAATGTTCGGGAGTGAACAACTCAACCGAATAATATTTCACAATTTGGCACTTTGCCTCAATATGATTCACGACCTTTTTAATTCAATACCAAATTTTCAACCACGTGAATTGAAAAGTAATTCATCAAGGAACAACACCTCTTTTAAATCACAATTTCAAGAAATAAATAGATTTATTCATCTTATTAAATCAATTTTCCATTTAAATTATCTATAGATAAAATCAATAATGAAAGTGTTTTCCATAAAAATGGCAACTCAAACAAACACAGAGTTCACGTAAAAGTCAAGTGACAATCACACCAAATTATTATATAAAAACAATCTCGGCAAACAAGGTTAGGCAAGATACTTACCTTTTTGAAGTTATGCCGATATTCCAAAATAGCCGTCTTGCTTGAATAAATCCTCCGGACAGCTCAAATCTATTCAAATTAATTCAATTTAGTCAATACTAATTATAGGAATTAATTCCATATGAAAATACTAATTTTCCAACAAAATTCGAAATTTAACTCAAAAATCGTCCGTGGGGCTCACATCTCGGAATCCGACGAAACTCACAAAATCTGACAACTCATTCAATTATGAGTCCACCCATACCAATTTTATCAAATTCCGATAACAACTCCACCTCCAAATCTCAAATTTTTGTTTTTGGAAGATTTTGCAAAAATCTTGATTTTTCTTCCATAAATTCACGGATTCATGATGTAAATGAGTATGAAATCATGAAATATAATCAATATAGGATAAGGAACACTTACCCCAATGTTTTCCCGTGAAAATCGCCCAAAAATCGCCCAAGAACCGTGCTCCAAAATGAAATGAAGGAAATGACCATTTTTGGTCCTTAAGTTTGTGCCCATCCGTCAAAAAGTTCATTTTCCGTCACTAAAAGTCCACACCAGAACTTGCTTGCACCAGCCTTCTTTCAATCGATCATAACTTTCTGTACAAATGTCCAAATGATGAATGGTTTAACTTTCTGGAAACTAGAATCAAAATACTACAACTTTCATGTTTTGATAATTTTCTGATTCCTTATGAATTGCGAGATATAAGCTTCCAAAGTCGGCTCCACGCATCAGAAATTTCTGGCGAAACTGTCATACCAGCCTTCATTCAATCCATCATAACTTTCTGTACAAATGTCCAAATGATGAGTGGTTTAACATTCTGGAAAGTAGAATCAAAATATTACAACTTTCACGTTTTGATAATTTTCTGATTCCTTATGAATTGCGAGATATAAGCTTCCAAAGTCGGCTCCACGCATCAGAAATTTCTGGCGAAACTGCCCTACCAGCCTTCATTCAATCTATCATAACTTTCTGTATAAATGTCCAAATGATGAGTGGTTTAACATTCTGGAAACTAGAATCAAAATACTACAACTTTCATGTTTTGATAATTTTCTGATTCCTTATACATTTCGAGATATAAGCTTCCAAAGTCGGCTCTTCGATTGTACCAGTTGCTGTCCAAAAACAGCTTCTGCAGCAGAAAAATTCCAGCAGCTCCTTTTTGTCCGAATCCATTCCGTTAACCTTCCGAAATTCACCCGAGGCCCTCGGGACCTTAACCAATTATACTAAAATATCCCAAAATACAATACGAACTTAGTCGAGGCTTCAAACCACATCAAACAACATCAAAACGACGAATCGCACCTCAAATCAAAATCTATGAACTTTGAACTTTCAAATTCTATATCTTGTGCCGAAACACATCAAATCAATTCGGAATGACTTCAAATTTTGCACACAAGTCATAAATGACGTAACAGACCTATTCCAATTTTCAGAATCGGATTCCGACCTCAATATCAAAATGTCAACTCCCGGCGAAACTTCCCAAAATTTCAATTTTTGGCTTGAAACTTTTGGCATTTCAAGCCTAATTCCACTACGGACCTCCAAATAGTTTTCCGGACACGCTCCTAAGTCCAAAATCACCATACAGAGCTATTGACATCATCAAAATTCCATTCCGGAGTTGTTTGCTCAAAAGTCAACTCTCCGGTCAACTCTTTCCATTTAAGCTTCTAATTAAGGATTGTTTATTTTAATAATTCGAATCTTCCGAAAAATCAAACTCGACCACACCCACGGGTCATAATACTTATTACGAAGTTGCTCGAGACCTAAGTCGCTGAACGAGACGTTAATTCTTAAAACGACAAGTCGGGTCGTTACATTCTCCATCTCTTAAACAAACGTTCGTCCTCGAACGTTCTAAGAATTATTCTGAGGTTACCAAATTGATGATTTTACTTTTACACATATACTCACGGTTGATTCCATGCTACCGCATTTGAGATAAGCCCAACAACACCATCTCATTTGAGATTATTTCTTTTATCCATATTTGTAAACTTTAAGACTAATTTCTTTCACTCTAAACCTTTTCAAAAGGCTTGATTTTCACAACGCACGGTTTTAGTCTCAACCGGCTATAGCAACTCGTGCCTACGCACACATCAACTTTCTTGATAGTATTGAAGTACTTCAAAATTTCTCTGGGGTGTTATATTCTTCCCCGCTTAGGATCATTCGCCCTCAAACACATAACATAATTTAACTCTTCTGTCGTACATATCAATCTCCCAATTTGTTTTTTCTAACTCCCAATTTTTTCTGAAATTTCGGCAGAGTCTCCCCTGTAATTGGGCCTATCCACCTGCCAAAGTAACACCAAAACAACTCCTAACAACACATCCACAACCCAACAAAACACGACAATGTATATATCAATAACACTAATCTCAGCATTACAAGCGCTGCATTATCATAATGATATCAGGACATGAAGCACATCACATGTATGTTCATCACATCTCTGTTCTTAAAAGCTGTTCATAATTAATTCCAACATCAGTAATTAATCTCATATTAACCACCACCTCATTTTGAATGTTTTTTTTTCACAACACTGACAACAGAATGTGAGGCATGAAGACTTAATGATTACTTATTCGGATTAATGAGTCACATTTAACGCCTCCTGGGCACTCATCTCATAGGCTAAAACTCAATGTTTACAGCACGAAAATGGCTGAATATGCACAGAAAATATACATGAATTATCAAATAAGCCTAACATGCATGACTCCCTATTAATACTATTGTACAATTAAATTTCACAAAGGGAGAATTTAAACTCATAAATATTTCACCACAAGGACCTCGTCCTTATATAACTTCCACCGCGGCTTGTAGCCCGGTTTAAATATTTCACATCATATAAAAATGCAAGGATCTCGCCCTCAACTCTAAATCACAAATATTGTACACATTGTGCCAAGTGACTTTTTTTTCTTTCTTCTCATAAATTCCGATAAAAACAAAATTTCACATCACATAATGAACCCCATACCGGTAGGGCATAAAATTCATAAATTTTAACCAAACTATCCCGAATTTATATCAAAACTCACTGTAGTGAGTAACAGAAAGTCACTTTTGGACTCTTAGCCCTCAATAGTGTACAAAACAAAATGTTAGACACGAGTTAACACCATTAAAATCTCCCAACAGGGATAAACACGGGAGTGGAGTACAAATTTACTAATCTACCATATAAGGAGCATGAAAGGAGTTCTCACCTCGATAATTGGAATCGAATAAAAATAAGAATAGTTTTATTGTAAATTGATTCATACCTGTAACGACACTATCTGGTGTATCGGCCTCAGCCAGATCATAGCAATTATATCAACAGGTCGGGCCTCCACCTCTTAGGCGCCCTCTATCCGTCTGTCCTCCACCCCTAACTGGCTGTGCACGTGGAGTATTAACTGGAATAAAGCTTGTAGCTTGAGTGCTCTGATGAAATCCACCCCTCCCAAGTGTGGGACAATTTCTCTTGATGTGTCTAGTATCACCACACTAATAACAACCCCTCTGCGGGTTCGACTGCTCATACTGAGTCTGTGCCGGATAACTGGAATAACCATTATAGGAACCCCGTGTCGATGGTGCATTAAAAGAACTTACTGGAACACCCCGAGTATTCTGAAATTGTTTCCATGACCTCGTTGATACTGAAATGTAGAATTATTAAGGGCACGGGAATACCGCAAGTTCCAGCATCATCCCATACAAATCTCAGCTCTTAATCATATACATGTTTCGGAGAACCTTTCAATACCACCTATATACTCTCAGGCCAAAACTCATATAACACATGACCCCGCAATCTGATCGTTGATAGTGGACTCCCTTCACTTGGCGCGAAGCCATAGGACACAATCTGATGATCCACAATACTAACCTTCACCACTCGTATGACACCAGTCATAAGACACCTCAAGCCATTTATTTGGCGCATGTCATCCTCGATCTGGACGACACGTGGTAACAATGGTTGAGCAACCCTGGCTCCCTTATAACCCCTATGTAGTATCACGAACCGTTGGCGCTTAGTTGATACCGAGTGCGCAATTTCATACACGAGTGGATGCAAAAGAACATAAGATATATGCTTCAAGATGAATAAATGTTGCACGATAAGGAATGAAAGAAGTGAAAATTTTCCTACTAGCTCTGTAGCCTCTCGAAGATAAGTACAGACGCCTCCGTACCGATCCGCAAGACTCTACTAAACTTGTTCGTGACTCGTAGAACCTATGAACCTAGATTGGTGAAACTAATGCACCCCGAGGTCCAAGAATATATGTACGGCAAGCTTGGAGCCTATGATCATGTGGTTCAACTTGTGGGAGAGTGTAACAATGTGTACAAACATTGTACTTGAGTAGTAGAATATTGTGCAGTATATTCATAGTTTATTGTGTAGTATATTTCTTAGGATTCTCATTAGTGAGGAAGCTCACATTATTTCTCTGATTTTAAAAAGACTCTGGAGCACTTTGTTGTAATATAAATAGTAGGGTTTCTCGCTTTTCCTCGTCTCACAAATATAAAATATAGAATTATGTCAAACTGCTCAGTGATGCAGTTGCTTTTCCAAAACCAGGGATATCATTAGGTTCTAACATTAACTGCTGCATGTAATTTGTGATAATTTAGGAGGGAGATGATGCTGATAAGGATCCAGCAGCAAACAAGGGCCACAAATTAGCAACTGTAGCCAAATTTCTGAATGGTGCTTTGCCTAGCCAGGTACGACTGGTCTGCTTTTGAGGTTCCTTGGGGTAGTCATGATCCGTATAATGGTAGTCTTGCAGTCCTAAACTTCAAGCAAATTTAAAGCATCTCCAAAATTTTGGGAGCCTACTGCTTTAATGTTTTTACATTTGTTTTTCTGATAGTATACTCTAATACATTTTTTCTTCTTCTCCTTTTGCTTTTTCCTGAAACTTTCTGTTGGAGGGTAGATTAAACTATTCAAAACTTTTGAACCTTGTAGAGAACTTTCGAAAGGATCAAGGTTGGTCTATTTTATTTTATACGTTGATAAGCAAGTCTGGTTTATTGTATGTAGTCATATTGCATTATGAGCTTTTAGAATTGTTTAGCATGCAAATTAATGTGTTCCCTGGTCTCTGTGAATACAATTAGTTCCAAGTTCCAGGTGCATTTACTGAAATTTGGAGCTCTGGTCCGAAATTCCAATTCTGTGAATTATGAATTCAGTGCAAAGATGCGACACAATTATAGATATAAAAAGGTATAAAAAAAGTGATTCAAAAATGACTCTTGCTTGATCACGAGATATGCCCACTGAAAAATTAAATGTCCTTCACAGTGATAGTTTAGCATTGACTTTCAATTAATCAACCAATCAACTAATCTCAATCCCAAACTAGTTGGTTCAGTTCTTTGAATCATTTACATCCATTCTGCTACTTAGACCTACTTCATTTTGTCTTCAAAGACAGATTAGTCGTCGTCTAAAACGAATTTCTCAAAATCTCATGCTTATCTGTCATACAAGTCCTTAATCAAGCTTAAAAGGCTGGTTGTTAGCACGGAAACATAATAAGAGAGTAAATAAGCTGAATCCCCGCCTAGTTGGTATCACTTATATGGATTCTTTTGCATCTATTCTGTTCTGTTCATAACTAAGTCTGCACTCCAATTGGTTGTAGAGTTTTTGAGATAACTTGTCTCCATGTGATTTTTGCCTCCCTTGTCAACTTTGCACTGTCAATTATTGTACTTTTGCATATTGTACGGTGTTTTATGACCTCACATTTATCTTACCATCCACATATCTTACAACATTATCTTGTGGACGTGTTTACCCACAGAGGTCCAAACATTAACTCTTTTATAATGATACTCGGTCTTGAATCCTTTTCTTTTATTAGTGACCACTTCTCGATCACCAACTAAAGGCATATCCTTTCAACACGGCCTGATATTTTTTTTTTTGCTGTCAACGTGCGTAACCAGTTTCTTTAAGCTCCTTGTGACAACAATTAGAATGCCGTAAGTCACATCCAAAGGTATATCAAGGGCTCTTCAGTTTAAGGTCTGCTATACGAGGATGGAAGAAATACACATGTTATTTAATATTCTGATGAGATTAGGATGGATTTCCTTCATATAGACAATCCATTTTAAGGTATTGTTTGTTTCTTAATTGGATGGAATATAATGGTATTGAAAAGTAAAAAGCTAGAAATCGTGGCTTAGTTCAAGCACGACGACGGAAGACCGTGCCATGCCATGGCTTCAGCTACATGCGTGTTTACATGGCTGAGACTTCTTCAAGAACTAAAATGAGGAGATGAACCGATGAAAACTGATTTGTGAAATTCCAGCTACACTACTCATTGCTACAAATACATCTTTTCATTAAAAGACATTATTTAGAGATAGATTGTCATTTTGTTAGACAAAAGACTGAGTCCGGATGCATAAGCACCAATTTTGTTGACTCAAATGACCAGCTAAAGGCTGTTCTTACTAAATCCATCTGAGGATTCTGTATTAAATAAATTATATAAGCTTGGAGCTTATGATATGTACTGGTCTATTTTATAAAAAAAGAGAGATATGTACTGCTCTAACTTAAAGGGGAGTGTTGAGATTGTTATAGGGTCACATTAGGGATTTGATTATTATCCTATTTGATTCTTTTAATTATGCCTAGAGTTAGTAGCTTACCAAGACTGTATACACTTGTAAATACCATGAATTCCCCATCCAGCTTAAGGGAATAATCAAGCAACTCATTTCCAATTTGTCCCTTTTTTTCTCTTCAACAGCGGTCAATCCAAAGTTCCCTGTTAGGGTTGTAGACTCAAAAAGAGGGTCACCGAACAGAATAGAAAAAACTAAAAAGCAAAAACGTTTTTCCTGAAAGTTGCATTAGATGTGGCATGACTCCGTTGGGGAAGAAAGGGAGTTGCATGACTCCTTTTACTCCACCCTATCCAGTGCGAGATTCAATTTTGTATTGTAAGATTCATCTAGGAAGAATTGCACTGTAAGATCCAGTTGAGAGTCAAGTTGGATCAGGGATGGAGTGAAATCTTCAGATTCTCGATTTCAATATATTTTCAAGTCTTTAGTGATAAGGCTTTAGAACTCTCTTCCTACTCTACATTGTCTCAAGTTGTGTGATGCAACTGTCTTTCTATGTGATACTCAACATTCAAGTGACACAAGAAACTTATGTTTTGAAGTGATAAGAATAACTCGTGATCAATTACTCTACTTTTCTTGGTTGCTTGTGCTTTGATCTCTATGAAATAGTTCTAGTTAAGAGGACCCATTTCTTTCATATTCCTCTTGGAGATTTGCGCTCTCTTTTGTGTTCTGTGCACGTTGGGTGTGAATAGTAGAATCAATATATCATTCAACGCAGGAAAACAGATCCAAATTACTTGCACAGTCAGTGTCTGTTGCTGTTAGTGATGTCAGCTCTTTGGTTCATCCATTGCACGTTTTAATGAAATGCAGAGGGCTATTGTGGGAGTGTATGCTCACTTTCCTCAAAACTTGACATATCTAAAATATTACGTATCAAAAATGAAAAGAAAAAGATATTGCTTGTAAGATTACTTGCATTATTGTGTTACTAGTATTTCAATAAAGTTCTTGCTGATTTAGTGCATTTCACTGTTTAAGGTGGGTCGAACTCAATCTGACAATGATAGAGTGGCATCAGTAGGTAAGCTCCTTGAAACTTATTAACCTGTAGCCTCTTGATCTTCTTCCCATACCTGATCTCCCCTTGTTTTCATTTATTCCTCTTCTTTTGATGCTGATAATGCAAGATGAATAGAGGGGAGCAAAACATTGAAAAGAAGCTGGTTAGAGTTTTCTTTTGGTTCGGGGGTTGGGGCGCGGGGATGGGGGCTTGAAGCAACAACGTGGAGAAGTAAGTTAATCTNTGGAAACAATTTACTTTTATACAATTATTTATAGCCACACAAAATATATGTGCCTCATTTTACACTACACGTTAAAAAGTCTTCTCTCTTTTCTTAAACTCCGTGCTCAGTCAAATGGGTTCACATAAATTGAAACAGAGGAAGTAGATGATAAATAAGTTTTTTTTTTTTTTTTTTTTTTTTTTTTTTTTTTTTTTTTGCGACCGTTTGCAATTCTCCTGGTTGAATGAATCATTATCAATTTTCTGAGAGTATTTCGAGACAGTCTATTATGTTCTTTTGGCCTATTGAAACTTTATATTAGAGTAAATTATTACCGAAGGTTTTCAACTGTTGGTACAGTTGCTATGTTGTAGCTCTTTGGCGATTGTGCTTGCATATATACTCAATATAATTAAGAAAGTCAATCATAAAACAGGCGTGGTTTCATTCCCATCATCCCCTTTCCATTCAAGAGTATCGTCTATCTTTGATATTGTTCACTTCTATATATTGGTCCAGGTCGTGTTGTTTCAAGTTTGGGGTTTCATTATATTGTCTGCTTTATTGATTGCTATTCCCGCTGAAAATGGTGTTCTTAATGAAGATCGTTCATAATTATTTTCTATCTTTCGGAAATAGTACTGAGATTCACAATCAATTTGGTGTTAGTAAAGGTATTATGCAGTGACAATACCGAGTACGGCATTTCCAAAAAAAAAAAAAAATACCGAGTAATCCACTCCCTTTGCCAGTCTTATGTCCTCTCAAGCAATCAATCATATACTTCTTATGCATATACTCCTCAACATAATGGAGTCTCCGAACGTAAAAATGGACATTGACGCTACGCATACTTTACTTATACACCATCATATTCCTATTCTTTTGGGGCAGAATGCCATTCTTACTGCTTGTTATCTAATTAATAGAATGCTCTTTGCTGTATTAGATCCTCAAAGTCCATATTCCATTCTGTTTCCTGTTCAAAATCCACATCATCTACCACTGAGATGTTTGGATGTACTTACTTTGTTGATGATCACAGTCCTAGAAAAGACAAACTTCAGCCTGAGAGTTGATTAAGCGTGTCTTTCTAGAATACTCTTGTCTTCAGAAAGGTTTCAAATGCTATGATCAAACGATAAAGAGATTATATTAGTAGATATAACCTTAGTTAATATGTCTCCCTGCTTTTCACCAATCAGTGCGAACAAAAATCTAATCCTCAGGGTTTACCAGTTCCTTTGCTTCCTATACCTCAAGTCAATCTTTTTCTTCTTTGAGTCTAACTTCCGATGTACTCGTCCTCCTGTTAACACCAATGATGACTCTTCTCATGACACAGATACACACACAATTTGAGTTATAATCTCCCTGTCATATTATACATTTGTGTATACCTTATCTATTGTTCTTATACTAAAAACTATTAGCAAAGCATTGGAATGTCAAAGGTGGAGAGATGTCATGATAGAGACTGCTTTTTACATTAATAACACTTGGAATTGGTTTAGTTACCGAATGGTAAGTTTATGTTGGGTGTCGCTGCGTAAAGCGAGTCCTGCTAGCAAAATTGATTGGAAGAAGGCTCGCCTTGTTGCGAACAGGTGCACTTAGATTTATGGTATTACAGTCACACATTCTCTTTAGTTGCCAAAATTGCGTCTGTCCGACTACTTATCTCCTTAGCAACAATCTTTTGTTGGACGCTTCATCAGCCGGATATTGAGAATGCATGCGCTGAGAGTTAGCCTATGAGGTATATATGGAGCAACCACCAAGGTTTGTTGCTCAGAGAGAGTTGGGTTCGATATATCATCTAATCCCATCACTTTAGGTCTACAACAATTTCCAAGATCATTCCATTTTCGAGTTAGCACAATTTAAGATAGGCATTGTTATCTCATTAAAAAAGTACACTTTGGACAGGGGGGGCCATGGGAAGATTCTGATATCAAGGACTGGTCGGCAAAGTGAATTATCCCACCATCATACAATCAAATAATTCATTTGTAGTGTGGCATATTAGTTCCTCAAAAATTATATCGTAGTGGTCATTGAGCCGTAGTAGTCCACATCCTTAGATACATGAGAAGAGCTCCAGGACAAATAGTGTTATACGAAGAGAAGCTTCGCTCAGACATTGTTGGATATTGATGCTGATTGGGCAGTGAGATAGACGTTCTACTTCTGGATATTGTGTTATGATGGGAAGGAACCTAAGCTCTTGGAAAAAGCAAAAGCGAGATGTTGTAGAACTAAAATATCGAGTTATGGCCTTTGCAACTTGTGAGCTTATTTAGTTGAAACAACTTCTCCAAGAGTTAAGGCGTGTTAAAATCAAATAGATGAAAATGATATGCGACATTGAAGCTACCCTTCACATTCCCTCAAATTCAATCTTTCATGAAATGACAAAGCATAAAGAGGTGGATTTTCATTTCTTAAGTAGAAGATTAAGTCTTTTTTTTGAGATGATAACAGTTTTATATATTCAAAAGGCACAAAGGCTGTGCTGGCCATAATTACAGGAGGTTGTACCAAAATATACATCTAAAATTTCTATCCTATTACAAGGATCCTAGGACATCTATTATACCTTCTGGATCCTCTGGATAATCCTGCTTACACCAAAAATAAAACAACAACAAAGAGTCCATTTTTATCTTCTGAATTGAGCTGCCCTTGTCTTCAAAACACCTTGAGTTCTTTTCTTTCCAAATAGACCACCATATGCAAGCAGGAATTAAATCCCATCTATTCTTCCGAGCTAAGGGACTACTCCCTTTATTCCAGCATGACAACATTTCCTTTGTGTTGTTTGGCATGACCCAGTGTACCCCTGCTAGTGCTAGAAATATATTCCAAACTTGTACTGTCACTGAACAATGTAAGTAAAGGTGATTAATAGTTTCTGCCTCCCTTCCACATAGGTGACATCTGGAACAGAGTGGTAGACCCCTTTTCATCAGATTATCCTCTGTTAAACAGGCCTTTCTAGCTACCAACCAAACAAAACATGCCACTTTATAAGGAATCTTTACTTTCCAAATATGCTTCTTGGCCAAAACTCAGTTATAACGTTAGTTTGATTGAGCGTTTGGTAGGAAGTTTTAACAGAGAAACTACCTGACTTGTGTCCCAGCCACCAAACCTTGTCATCATTCTGAGTGACACCTGTGAATTGGTTGATTGTGTTGTAGAAGTCTGCAATTCTAATGATTTCCCAATCATTCAATAATGAAAATGTCTGGGTACATTGTCTTGTGAAGATTAAGTCTTGATGCGTTGATACTGATAAAGAAATGGACCTTGGGCTAACTCAACTCTAGAAGCTAGCTCATGAGGTGAGGATTACCCAAGACGATATAAAGATACCATCCCACCCCTAAAGCACTGTTGTGGGACTCAACAACCCTCTCCCCGCGCACACCCAAAATTGGACACCTGGAGCGTTGACATTATAAGATGGGGGCCAAAAATCGGATAAACAATAAATTGAGATGAGCCTGACTCTAACTCTGATACCATGATAAACAAGTGGACCTTGGGCCTTACTCAAACACAAAAGCTAGCAAATGAGGTGATTAACCAAGACCATATAAAGAGACCATCCCATCCCTAAAGCACCGATGTGGGACTCAACAGGTAGCAACTTCGTCGGATCAAACGGCCGCAAATGCTCTTATCAAATCTCTCCGAGGATTTCTGTTTGGACACTTTTGCAACAAGCTTGAAGCCTATTTATATTGATTTTGTTAAATATGGCAAGAATATGTACTATGTAAATATAGAAATATTCCCATATCCCATTCCCCGTAATTAAGTAATTAGGAGATTTTGTAGGAATCTAATTATTCTCTTTTATTTCTTTCCTTATTTGTAATCCTTGTAAAGGTCATTTTACCCCGAATAGCCTGAGGGAATAATCAATCATCATATTCCCCATCTCTTCTTCTTTCTCAGTTAATACTGTAATCAGCCAGAGTAGATTGTGATTCTTTAGAATCTATAACTTCCAAATTGTAAACCACATAAATAGTACATAAAATTCCAACCAAGGTTGAGGGAATAGTCTAGCTTTTGAGTTGAATTTTCTCTCATTCCTCTTATTTTGACCTTGCATCTAATCGAAGATAAAGAGAAGTAGGATCTCTCCTGAGACACTCTGAGGATACACAACTATTTTTGTTGTCCAGACAAAATCAAATTCTCTCACATTCAATGTCATGGGATGAACCATGTCCAACTTTAGTTGTATTGTATTGGATAAAGTGCAAGATATGGTGTACCTTTAGAATTATTTATGCTATATAGGCAACTGCTGTTTGATGGTCCAAATGATTTTCTAGATTCTTTTTTTTTGGTAAATAAGACTTTTATTACCAAGTAGAGAAATGTACAGATCAGTTGCCTAAGAAGGGGGAAAAAAAACAAGCAAAACTGGCAGTCTGGTTAGTTGGACACAAGTCCCAATTCCCAGCAAAGCTACTGATCCTCTATCATCATATACTTCTACTGCTAAGGATAAAAATCTAAAGTATTTTATTTTTTTCCAAGTTTGCTCTTCCCGCAGCCTCTACAGAACATATCTTGTACCAGGCTTCTAAGTATGACGTCCAGAGATCTCTGCTTGTGCTGGAAGATACGCAAATTTCTCTCTTGCCAAATATAGTAGACACAACCAGTCAATGACATTCTAAAGATATCAGCCGATGGGTTGTTACTTCTCAACTCCCTGCTTGCCCAGTCTATTTCATCCTGCCATATCATCACAGCTCTATGTATGCCTTGCCATTGTAGTAATCTGTACCATAGCTCCTTTGAGAATTCACATTCAAAGAACAGATGATCAAGACATTCTTGTTCTTTGGAGCAGAGTATACAAGTTTGGTCCACAATGATTCCCCATTTTGTCAATCTATCCTTTGTGCTTAGTCTTCTCTGTATTGCCAGGTTCAAAATAAACAACCATCTAGGAGTAGAAGGGTTGTTACACATGAGCTTTTTTCAGAGTACTTTTACAAACTCACCTCTCATCTTCTGGTACATCTTTTTGGTAGAGAAGGTCTTCAGTTGAGACATATCAGTCATTCTCATTCCAGTTCCCTCTAAGTACTTTTTAGCTTTAAGAATCTTAGTCAGAATCCAAGAAGCTTGTTGTGGCTCCACTTCCCATAGTTGCCTCCCCTTCCCATAGTAAATGTGAACCCACCTCACCCATAACTTGTCTTTTTTTGTATGTAGATTCCATAAAAGCTTGCAGACTGCAGCTTTATTCCATGTCTCAATGTGTAATACATTGAAACCACCGGCTGTTCTAGGCCAACATACTCTGTCCCAGGCTAATGGGGCTTTCCTTTTCATCTCCACACCACCACCCCATAAGAAGTTCCTACAAGTTGCCTCAATCAAATGTGTTATTTTCTTAGGGAGTACAAATATTTGAGACCAGTAGACTTGGATGGAGAATAAGACAGTTTTGATTTGCTGCAACCTCCCCGAGTAAGAAAGAAACTTGGAGGTCCAGGATGCTATTTTCCCCAGCATCTTGTTCACGAGGGGATAGTATTGCATCACAGGAAGTCTTTTAGAGTTTAAAGGCACCCCATGGTACCTGATAAGTAGTTCCCCCTTTGTAAACCCCAAAATATTCAAAATCTCGCCTTGTACCACATTGTCAACGCCCCCAAAGAAAATAGTGCTCTTGTCAACATTAGCCACTAGTCCAGAACAATTGGAGAAGTTTGAGAAGCAATTTAAGAGCAGTTGAATAGATATCAAGTCTCCTCTACAAAACAACAAAAGATCATCTGCAAAATCTAATTGAATTATTTGCAATTTGCTTGATTCTTTTTCATAGAAAATGAAAATAGAGACAAGTGGGCGCTTTTTCACCACTTTCTTTGTAATAGTAACATGTGAAATTGCTACAAAATGCATTTTAGGTACCTCAACCACAAGGACGTGGGGGGTTTCCTCCCTATTTGGAAGCCGAGGATCATCAGTAGGGAATTCATCTAAGAGACATGCTGCTGAAGTAGTGCATGATATTGACCAGGCACCTCCTGTTATACAATTGAAAAATGTAAGTGCATACTAATCAAGTACATATCATAAAAGAGAGAAACGACAGACATGGTGATGAAATATCTGATCTTTGTGATTCCCCATCTTACTCTCTTTTTAGCCACCATCAATCTTGAGGCCTGGAGAAACTGAAACAGAGTACCAAGTGGAGATTATAGTGACGAAAATACTCGTAACATCTTACTATGATATTGTGAGGAGGAATATACAGGATTTGGTTCCAAAAGCTATTATGCATTATCTGGTAACTTTTCCCCCTCTGTTTTAATGCTTTGGTCATATATTATGTAGCCAATATTAAGTATATCTGTGCATGTTTTTAGTTGCGCTGTGTGTATAGCACTCTGCAAGCATCTGCCCTTTTGTTATCACTCACTGCTGATTTTCTCCAGGTCAATCATGCTAAGAGGCATCTTCTTGGCACGTTCATAGAGAAATTGTACCGGTATGCTCATTGGGACAATTGTTTCTCTTTCATGTTATTTGATTTTGGGATCTTATAAATCCCACAAAGATGGATTTGACATCCTTGTTAGACTTGTAACCTGTATGCTGAAGAATCTGAAAACATTGTCTTACCTGAATTAGGAGTACCTCCTCATAAGCAGACAACTCATTCTCAGCTTGTGCTTGTTTCTAATCCGATGGGTAGAGTTCCTATCACCTGAGTCGATTCTGCTTCTGGTTGTTGTCTTAGGTTTCCGGCTTATTTTTTTGTTTGATTAATCAGTTCGAACAATCTTTCTTTATCGGCGCTTCTTGTTAAGATTTTTGCATTTTTAGATTCCGACTATCATGATATTTGTATCTTTTAGAAAGAATACTTGGTAGAACTGCAACATAATACGGAGAGCCGAACCAGTAATTTCATGAGCTGGGATTGCCAAACCTGGCTCGACCTTCACAAACGTTGTCTTGTTTGTATGTGGAGCTGTAGATCAACTCATTGTTATGACTTGTCCCTCTCCTTTTTTTTTTTTGGCTGTGGCGTTTCTCTTAAGTGAATTATGGAGGGAAGTCTGTAAGCCATGGATCATGTAGAATTACCTTGTTTATGTGCTTACTTCGAGTTATGACCACTTCTGATCATTTCTCTGCCTCTCCTTGAGTCACCCACAGAGAGAACCTTTTTGAAGATTTGGTGCAAGAGCAGGACGAAGTTGTCACTAAGAGGAGGAGGACTGTAGAGATGTGTCATGCTCTGCAACAAGCTGTCGAGGTTAGTTATTTTGATAGTTACAAGACTAATCTTGCTACTGTTTTAACTAGAAATCAGGGATCTTTGGGACCATAGGAATTGCAACAGTGACTTGTTTTCCTTGAGAAAAATGTACAAGCAGTGTGTTAAGATTGTTTTTTACGTGGTTTGTGTATATGTATGGTGCCAAGAAAATGCAGATTTTGGCGCAGGCCTACTGAGACCATGTTCCCAAGATCCTATTTCCATTTTGATTTCAGAATTCTACTCATGATATCAGTATTATATTAAATATGTTCTGCCTGAACCTTCCTCTTATGTCTTGTTTCCAAGTATATTTGCTAAAGTACAAATAGAATCGTAAATCTGAAACTTTCATTTGCTTGTTTTTTTTGTTTAGACACTCGATGAGTTTGTAGCTGATATTTCTACACAAAGGTCAAGTGATAGTATGGATGCATTGCCAAAATCTTCTTACCTTTCGTCAGACTTTTACTCGAATTCAAGATCTTAACATCTAGGTAATCTGAATCTTGTATAATACTCCATGAGTTAATGTGTCATTGCCTCCATCTGTATCCACTGCTTGTTCATTCGAGGACTTCAGTACGAAGCGAGAGTCCACATTTTTACTGACATGTCACCTGATGGAACTATTGAAGCATCTATTAGATAGATAAACTTGTATAGTAGTATGTGTTGTGAGTTACTTGTATAGTAGTATCTGTTTTGGAGATACTGTCCAGTTTTGCTCTAAAGATTACAATTACAGTGTTTTCTTCTGATTTCTGCTCTCCGCTAGGTAGGTGGGCTATATACTTATATATGTAGCTTCCAAAGTTTACTGTTTCTTCCCTTCAGGTTATGCTTACTAGTCCAATGTTTACTGTTTCTTCCCAAGTTTTTGCCTCACCATAACTTTTAATAGGATGCTGTTTGTTGAAGTTCTATTTGAGAGATGTTAATGTTCATCTTATGGGTTTAGACTCTTAGGTCATTGAATGATATGTAATCCATTTATCAGAAATTAATCCTCAGTATGTTTCGTTGGTGTCCCCAAATTTTACTGATTACAAGAATTAGTACTCTCTCCGGTCTCAAATTATCTATTTTCTAAAAATAGTTGTCTCAAATTATTTGTCATTTAGAAGTTCAAGGTAAATTTTTTTTTTTTTTTCCATTTACTCTTAATAGTAATTATTCTTGAAGATGGAGATGGTAGCATATAAATAGAGTAAATATGTAAATGAAAAGTTTATATTAAGACATAAATAAAAATAAAATAATCTAAAACCCTTATAATTAATATTTTCTTAAGGGTGTGAAAAGTGAAGCACGACAAATAATTTGAGATACAGATTAATGGATCACTCCAGACCTAAATTATCTGTCCTACTTTTTATTCTGTGATGTCCTAAAATTTTGTTAACTTTTTCTAGATGAAAGCTCTTTAACCTAACTTTTTAATTTTATTTTTATTTGTCAAAATAATATTTTGGGACCTATTTTTATTTTAAAAAGTTTTATTCTTTGAAAGATTACGTTTTTCTCTATATTTTAGATCCATTTTTATGTAAATATGAACCATCTTATCTTAACTGTCCAAATGGAGATGCAGTTCTGTGATAGCTGGAAAAGATTTCCATATATATTCAACTTTATTCTCTTATACATTTACTATTTTAATTTTGGTTGAAGAGAGAATTACTAATGTGATAATCAGACTGTGATTGCCATATCAAAATCAAATCATCACATTGGCGTAACTAAAATTCCAAAAATAGCTGTGACAAGAGCCTCACCTGATTTCTAAATTGAGGTGTAGATATAGTGGCGTTTGTTATAAAAGTTTTTAGAAATTCAGTAATTTTTGGCCGGGTTTCTTTTTTAAATGTTTTTTTTTTTTTTTTTTTTTTTTTTTTTTTTTTTTTTTTTTTTTTTTTTTTGCAAAAATAACTGAAATACACTTATTGAAAAGACTTCAAAATTGAGTTCGCAAATTCAACTTGACACTTCAAAACAAATGCTAACTTATATCTTCACAGCTATAATTGCAAGAGAAGAAAAGGTCAAGCTAAAATTGCTAGACAAACAAGCTATAATTTAAGCAAAATTTGCACAAGCAAAAGCAAATATTTACTCCGAAGTGTAGAGATGATAATACTTCTACGGAAAAATGAGTTTGAAGTTAAGTTACTTTTCAAATTACTTCAGTAAAAAGTTAATCTACTAGATTTGAATATCTTGTTGGATGATGTGCATGATACTTATTAATCAAGTGATTATTTAACAGGCCGAGATTAAGAAACCCATCTTTCAATTGAAATAAAATTTTATATCTGACACTCGACTAAAATTTTTGATGCGCTTTTTCTCTTCTATTTTAGTTTTAATTTGTAATACGATGAAAAATTAAAGTGCACACTGTAATTTTTGGGTGTATGCTTTTTGTTTATATTCCCGTGCATTTTAAGAGAAACAAATTCAGAAAGAATCCTTTTTCTAAGTCCAAAAGATTTCTGAAAGATCTAATCCAATAGAGATTTCACAGTAAGCATAAAAATGTAGTTACAGCTGTTTACCATAAAAAACGGATAGCAAATAGATTTATATGCGATTTTAAGGATATGTGAATTAATTCAATACAAATACAAATGATAAATGACGTTAGATTAAATAGATAAATGACGTAATAAATTTTCAAACCGATTAAGGGGGGCGATCCCGGACACATTAACAGCTTAATGAAATACCTGCCTTCGATCCCGGGCTCACAATTAGGGGTGTCAATGGTTTGATTCGGCCGGTTTATTTTATAAAATTTGTACCATATCAATTTTTCGGTTATTCTATTATGTATAACCAAAATTAAACTTTTTGAAACTGTCTCAGTCATGTCGGTGTCTCTTCGGTATTGTTACGGTTCGGTTAATTTTCGGTATTATTTTAAATATTATGTAAAATTCACTAGAAGAAGTAGAATGCAAAAACATATGTTCTTTTATAGGACTTACCAAAACTTTCTAGATATTTTTACTGTTTAAAGGGTGTTGGATTAAAAAAAATAAAGAATGGCTAGAGTATAGATCTATCAACTATTCTACAACAATGTAAAAGAAACCAAGCAAAGGAAAAAAAAATATAAATCACACGAGTGGAAAGATATTAACCAAGTTGGGACTCAAGAATAAAGTCTATAGAAGATTAAATATTCAAAAAGATAAATCTAAATTATATGAAAGGAAACATATTCAATACATTGTAATTTGCTACTCATAATCGCTAGAATACTTTGTGTCTTGCTAATAAAGATATTTGAAATAACTTAGTTTAAGTAGAAATAACATAATAGGTTTTAGGAATTAGTAATTTGAGTTTAATTATTTGTTGCCTTGAAGCAGTTTTCATAATTCCAAGGCCCAAAGAAAAATTTAATGCATTATTATTATTTTTAAACTTACTATATAAATATATTTTTCACACGTAAAATTTAGTCGGTACGCGGTTCAGTATTTTTTCGGTTTATTTTCATAAAATAAAAAACCTACCCTAATTATCAGATTTTTTAAAAGAAACCTATAAATCGATTCAGTGCGGTACGGTTCGGTCGATTTAGTCAGTTTTCGAATATCCATTGACATCCCTACTCACAATAATGAAGAACTAATGAACAAAAGAAAGAACTTTGAATAGAGAAAATAAGAGTATATTGCCTTAAAATGCGTGTTACAATGTGTTTATGAATAGTAAGCTTTCCCCTTTATATAGTAGGAGAATTTTACCCTAAGTACAATTCTAAAAAAGGTAAAAATCTTCCGTTTCGACGATCACTGATTTTCTGTTGATATAAGCCGAGATTCACGCCGTGATATCTGGTTGGGTACGAATATCACGACCCTTTGTTAGTCGTGTGCAGCTGCTCGGTGATGCTCTCTAAAGTCTCAACCCTTAAATCAGACCTCGAGTGTATGGCCCTGATATCCTCGAGGGCAGGTGTTTGCCCGAGCCCTGATACGAGCGGTTCTTCATTCTGACTCCGATACGTTAAAGTCATCTTCCCGCTCCGCTTGGCTCACCGGGAGGTCGAGTCATGCAACGAGCTCGGCCCTTACCCGTATACAGATAGTCCTCTCGTTTCTCAGAGAGTAGGCTAGCCGAAACGATGGGAAACGATATATGACTCTAGTTCCTTCCTTCGTAAGTCACAACGGGGAAAAGAAACGTCCCATCAATCGCGTCGTTCTGACTTCGGACACGTGTCACTCACTGGCAGGTTGCCTCCGAATGCAAAACATCGACTATTTTCCAATAAAAACCTCCTTCCTTTGTACTTTTTTTACTTTCCGATCAAGCCGCAATCTTCGAGCCATCAACCATCATCAAAACCTTCTTCAAATCTTCATTTATTTTCTTCAATATTCATAGCAATCTCCAAATTTCTACCCAATTTTTTTTCAAATCTTCATACCCCGTTTCTCCAAAACTTAGTGTTTATTTCCCAAAATTTCAAACACTCCCCCAGATGACAATGGCAAAAATATCGAAAACTGTTCCTCAACAAGTTGCCTCTTCATCTTCTCAACCGGTCGCTGGTACTGAAGCGGTTAACCCTGAGGTGGTTGCCCTCGAAATGGCTCCCCCCGTTGCAGATGCTAACGAACCGACCATCGAGCCTCCCTTTTCAACGTTTATCCCCGGGGCTGATCAATTGAAGACGACTTCAAGGTTGAGAAGCCTTATCGCAAACAGACCGGGGGGAAGGGGTCTAGAGATAGATATGTTCGGTGACCGAGGATTTTCTTCCCACGGTTCGCAAGGAATGCGATTGGGAAGGCAAGGATGTAGTAGTCCCCGGACCCGAGGATGCCGTTACTACCCATGGGAATGGGTACTAAGTGTTTACACTTATCCCTTCACATCGGACCCGGTAGACCCGATCGTCCTAGAATTTTGCAAGAGGTACGAAGTGTGCCTCGGGCAGATCCATCCATCACTGTGGAGGATCGTGACCCTCCTTTGTTACTTCGTGAACAAGATCGAATCTCGTCGTTTCATGATCGACCACCTGCTCAGATTATACAGTCCGCAGATGTTCCGAGGGGGACTGATCAAGCTTACGCGTCGGGCCAACAAGGGCTCCTTCTCCAGTACCGGGGCTGGGATGCTTTGTCCGGGTGAAGACCGAGGATTTGATCCACCCAGAATACATTCCATTCCCTGAGGAATGGAATGTGTCACGTAAGCTCAAGTCCTTCATCAAAATTTCTTCTTTTTTTATTTCGATATTCTCATTTATGTTTGTGGCTGTGCAGCTGTTGCCAGGGTTCCGAATGTGGTCCCCCAGTTAAAGGAATGGATCGAGGGCATATGTACTCAGATGTCCTACTTCAAGCGCACATGGCGCGGACTCTGAAAGGGCCGATGGGAAGCCTGTTCTTATGGTAAGATCTCTTTCTGGATAGACAACATTACGTCTCTGTTTTATATTATACTAACCCCTCTTCTTTATCATTGTAGGTTTGCCTAAGACCACCAAACTTAGGCCTTCGGAAGGGAACAAAGATGTGCCCTCGCCTGTTGATCCCTTCGTTGTTGCCACGGAGGGAAAGAAGAAGAGAAAAAAAAACTCTCGGGCTCCCCGAGCTCCGAGGCGAAGAAACCGAAGAAGCGGGTGCTTCGCAAGCCTAGAAGGGGCTCCAGTTCCCGTGTGCCTGCCTCTGATTCCCTCCTTCAACTTAGGGATGAGCCGGAGGAAGAATCTGTCTTCGTAACTCATGGGACGACCACCTATCCCGGGGATTGGGAGGCATCCGAGGGGGAGACTCGCAAGACCGACCCCCCTCCAACTC